AAAAAAAAAAAAAAAATAACCGCCAACAGCATACAACGAGAAAACCCACAAGAGGCCCCATGCTGTCCTGGGACAGCCCCACGGGGGACACGGTGGCATGACCATCTCAGGCAGAGCCCAGGGACCCACAGTGGGGCCCAAAAGGGGAGGAAAAAAAGGATCAGCCAACGCTCAGCCTCAGGTCGCGGGCACAGTGTGGGCGGGCGTCTGTTTCAATCCCGGTTTCCTGGACTCGGCCCCCTGAACGGAGGAGCCCGAAATCTGCGTCAGTAATGGGCTCCCCCGGTGAGCGGGTAACGGGCGGCGCTGAGCATGAATTTCAGAGAAATAGACAGATTTTTAGTGTAAGTATATCCCATGCACCCTCTAAAATATACTTACACTATAAAAGAATTATTCGTTCTTTAAACGGAATTCGAATTTAACAGGCGTCTGCGCTTCTATTAGCTGAACCAGGCCGCCCTACAAGGGGACCCTCTACGCGAAAGTCGGGGGACCTCGGGCCCCCTGAGAGGGGCGTGAGGGAGAACCGGGCCAGCGTAAAGAAAAGCCTTAAAAACTCACACTTGCAGTAACTATTAGGAACGACGGTCAATTCCTAGGATGCAGAGAAAGACTGGGGTTCCTTCGCCCCTAAAGGCAAATGTGAAGCGAGAAGCCGACGGACCCGCAGCCCGGAGACAGGGGATTGGCTGCCGTGAACCCGGGCGGACCACACCGGAAGCAGCTGGGGCGCACGGGGCCGCCAGCCCCGGCCGCAGGGGCGTGCGCACGCGCAGACAGGCACCGGGCCCGGGAAGCGGGGACCGAGGCCCAGCAGTGCCCGCGCGCATTCGCACTCGCGCTGTCGCCGCGCGCCCCCGCACCCCCACCCGCCCGCTCTCGGCGCGCACGAGCCGGGTCCAGCCCCGCCCCATCCCTTGCTCCCCACTCGCTCGGCGTTCCCCCGCCACTGTCCAGAGTCCCATCGCCGCCCCCAGTCCCCCTCTGCGGGAGCTTGGGTCCGGAGAGCTCGAGGGCCGGGGCCGCGCGCTTACCTGAGAGAGCCGGGCGCAACCGCTGCGCTTCGCCAAGTCTTAGCAACCGCTCGCCCCGCCCCGCCTCAAGTCTGGCGCCGCGGGGCACGACGGGAGCGTAGTTCCCGGGGCGGGGATGGCGCCGGACGGCGGCAGGACCGGGACTACAATCCCCACAAGGCCCCGCGCGCCGCCTCTGACTCCGCTCCCCTCCGAAGCTGAGCTCACGTGAGGAGGCGCTGGGCCCGGCCGCGCCGCGTGGGGGCGAGCACGGAGTTAGGGGTTCGAGACCGTAGCGGGGCCATAGGTCACCCGGAACCTGGGGGCCCTTTGGGGAAATCAGCAGAGTGGGAAGACTGAGGCAGGAAGGGACGCGACAGTCGTCTGCAGTCACTTCGCGAGGCCTGTCCGCAGAGACCTGGATGGGCTGAGTCCCAGTTCTGCCCTTCACTGCCCCCCGGGGTGACCACGGTCTGGGGCCTCGGCGACTCCAGGCCTCAGTTTTCTCCTCTCTACAGTAGGCGATGGGGACCTCTTGACTGTGCTGGACAAAATATGAACATTTTAGAAGCAGTTTCAGCTACTCCTTCCAGTTGAACAGGCTTGACCCAGCAGTTCTGAATGGGGGAAATTTGTTGCTTCTCCCCCTCTAATTTGGCAGTGTCCAGGGACATCCGTGGTTGTCACTACTGGGGGTGCTCCTGACATGGTGGAAACAGGGACGCTGCACAGCACCTGCAGTGCCCAGGACAGCCCCACCCCAGAGAACGAACCCACCCCAACATCCACAGTGCAGGGGGGAAGAGACTCTGGTTTGACCCCATTGCTCAAGTAAGGAGGTAAATTCAGATCTGAAAGGGCCCTAATGGGAAAATACAATCATTACTTTTCCATTTTCTCCCTGTGACCTCTGGTAAGTCAGTGCTCCCCTCCCGCAAGAACCAAGGAATTCCCAGCCAAGGTCATGAAGTGTCCTCTCTGGGACAGCGTGGCCAGAGGGGAGAGTGTCCTCCCGGGGTCCATGTCTGGCCCTGCAGGACTCTGAGAGGGGAGCCCCAAATGTTTCAGCTCTTGGTCGCTAAGCGTTGTCTGGTCTCTTGACCTATTCCCGGGTAAAACAACACTCCAGGAAACTATAGTTGCTTTCTTTCTTCTTTCTTTTCTTTTCTTTCTTTCTTTTTTTTTTT